GTCCAGCGTTTGAGTGTCAGTCAGTTGAGATCAGTGAGATAAGCAGATATGAGAGTATCCTTATAGTGACAGAGGAGAGAGAAACTTGACACTGACTGCCATCGAGTGTTTTTATAACGGGAACTGCCACATTATTTTTCACTCTCATAATTGTGACTTAACCAAATCATATAAACATTAACCTTAAATCCCACTGATCCAAGAGGTAAAATTGTTGTTATATAACAAGCTTTATTCTATTATTCCAATTTGTCATGATTTTGTTAATCAATTTTTATTTATTGACTTTATTATTCATTGTATGTATTTATGTTATTTTATGTTATTTTTAATAAACTTAATTTGTGCCATGGGTTCTGATTTAAAGTATCACTTTAGTAATACCCAATATGCCAGTTAACTGTAGCTTTCCCAAAATAATAATCATCTGTTTCTTTTCAGATGACATTAACTGCATAACTAATGTTTTCAAAAGAAAGTTAACATTTTTCTGGTTGTCTCTTTTAGTGGTTTATTCTTGGCTCCCAGGGACCCCAGTCAGTATTCCTGATATGTTCGGTTGAGGGTTAATATACCTGAAATGTGTACATGTAATATTTATTTGATTCATTTTTGGACGATTTCAACCAATTGTTGTGCTACCCTTGGCTGTTTTGTGAAGAACTGATTATAAAATGTTTTATTTTTTTATGATTTATGTTGGTGCTAAGGAATAATCTTTCAGTTTTCAAAACAACAACGACAAAAGAATAAAGCCCAGTAAAGTTAAGTACTGGAGGTTTTTGTACAGCGTTGCTCCTTACTGTGTCACTGTGGCTCTCGAGCACAATGATAAACAGCAGTATCTTCAGTCTTCAGACTGTTCATCTGCAGATACAGCTGCTGTCTGCTGTTGTCTCTGGAGATAGTAAACGATAAAACAAATATACAGTGGTCAGATGCTTTAAGCTGGAAGCATTTTGAAAACAACTTCAACTAAAGATCAGTGAAGATGTTCACCTGCCCAGCAGATAGTTAACAGCAGCAGTCCTGTCCTATAGTCCATCATGTTAAACTGTGTGTCCACTGTTCTCTGTCATCCTCTCTGCAGTCAGATAAGTAGAGGTGGAAGACATCTGAGTTTTGCATTGACTCCTCCTCACAGTGTGGAACTGGATTTGACTTGGATCTCAGTTGATGTTTGGTGAAACTGCAGAATGAATGTTTACTGTACATTAGTCATTCCTCCAAGAGTCCCTCTTGCATGTTTCAGTATAATTTGTGCAAAACCTGGGTATCAATAATAGTGATAATACATTTAAGAATATTAATTAGCATTAAATACAGGAATTACATGTAACTAATTCCATAATTTATTATTTTGAGGCAGACTGAGAGGACATGTTTTGTAAAATCCGCTGTATGTTAGATATTATGTTTCTATATTATAATGAACCATGTTGTATTCCTTTCACTTTTTCAATTATTTTTATTTTGTTTTTATTTCTTTTTTTAAAACTGCTGAGAACAGTTTTCAGTCTAAAGAAATAAATTGCCCAGGCAGACATATAAACTCTGTTACCTTGTGTAAAACAAAAGTTGCAGTAAAAACTAAAAGCTTTGTCACTGTCTGCAGTCAGATAATTAAAGGTGGAAGACAACTACGTTCTGCATTGACTCGTCCTCACAGTGAGGACAGAGTTTGGTCTTTAGTTTGTTGCACTTGAGAAACGATAATATAGGAGTTGTTACATCAGCCAAATAAATATGATGCAGACAAATATGAATGTAATACTTGTTTAATTTGAATTGTCTTCAAAAGTTGAAACATTATTTTTTTTAATAATTTTTCAATAACATGAATTAAAACCAGAAACTGTCTCTGAGAAACGAATAATATATGATGGCACAATTTTAAAAATGAATTAATGTAAAGTAGAGGACTGGAACATAAAACCAGAAAATTCGATTTATGAACTCTTATGTGACTATGTTTTATCTGTATTTGTAACAGTAAAATAACTTTTTTTGGTGCCTTAAAATCTCATTTTATTTAATTCTCTGTCCATCAGGGAGTAACTGTCCAACACATACTCACTTACTGGGAGCATGGCTGATGGTGGTGACTGTATAGTTCAGTCACAACCTTAAGGAAGTTCTGACAGTTTGTTTAAAGGCACAGTTTCTGAATACTGGCTGTGTGCATTTCTCTGTGGAATGAGCTTTTTGATACTTTCACAGTATTTATACAGCACCTACCTGCTTTATAATCACACAAGAAATGGAAATCTCACTTTCCACAATATGGGACCTTTAATTATTGAAATATAAGAGAAAATGTTTCACTCCTGCCTTATAGATTAAAAGATGGGAATATTATTAACCAGTGCATTGTGGTAGATAAGTACATAAAACCATAAAAAAGAGGAAGTGACAAACCACAGCCTCAGCTGGTGCTTTCACATTGTTTGTTTCTCTGTATGTGTAGGTACGATGCCACACTGGTTTGAAGATCTCCTGCTGCCCCCTTTTGGTGACTGTAAAAGCGAGTTGTTTGAGGTTTTTGGAAAGCTTATTTGCTCACTTAGATGATTGTGGCTCCTGAACAGTAGTACACAGCAGAGTCCTCTGGCTTTAGGTTGGACAGTCTCAGATACACCATGCTGTTGCTATTATCTCTGGTGATTTCTATTCGTCCTTGCACACTGCTGGCATACATTGTTTTACTTGCATCATAGTAAATGAGCCCCATCCATTCCAGTGCTTTCCCTGCAGGCTGTCTGATCCAGTGCATTCCAGACTGACTGAAATCAAATCCAGTTCCCCTGCAGGAAAGACTGAGGGCTTCTTGAGGCTTCTTCAACACTGAAGTGGAGGGAATGGACTCGAGAGCCTGGCCATTCAAACCTACCAAAGAAACAGAGGTCAAAAGACACAAGTGAGAACGAGAGAAATAAACAGCATTAAACATTAAATGTGTGCATTCTCTGATCAGTATTCCAGCATGAAGCAACGTACAGGGCAGACAGAGTGCTGTCAGCAGTACAGACAGTTTGTCCATCATCTTGAGACTGAAGATGTGAACTCAGATGCTGCAGAAGTAAACCCTCTGAAAGCTCTGGATTTGCATTGGCAGTTTGTAAGGGAGGGGCTTATTTGTATAATAGATTTGATATATGGTATATAACACTGTGAACAGGGCCCTTTAGTAAATTTAGCTTCTGATACTTTATTTCAGTACACAGCCTTTAGAAAATCAATTCTTCTTGTAAGCTGCTCAGAGGGGAATTAATTTCAATAAGTTCATTATGACAAATCTACTGTTACAAGTTCTCTGTTTGCAATGAGGGATCAAATATGAGGATCAAATTCATGTGACATGAATTCATGATGTGTCTTGAATGTAAATTAAATCAAAATTGGAAGAGATATGTTGCAATGATATTTGATGACAGCCTGGATGACCTTCTTCAGGTCAGCAAATGAGAGAAACAGCCTGATCTTAATAATAAGTGTTTCTTCACTGTAACAGTGAACTGGTGTTGAAATCATTAGTGGTCTGAGGGCTCCTCCTCTGGTGGCTTCATGTTACAAGTGTTCAGGCACTGAGGGGTTTTTGTTCAGGTCTACTGATGGTTCGTGTTATTGTGTCTCTCTGGCACAGTAATACACAGCAGAGTCTTCAGGCTGCACATTCTGTCCGTTAAGAGTCACTGTGTTACTGGAAGAGTCTAAGTCGATACTGAACTTGTTCTTCAGTGAATCTTTGTAATATGAAGCTGAAGTATGTTTCATTCCAATCCACTCCAGTCCTTTCCCTGCAGGCTGTCTGATCCAAGCTGTGTAGTAGTCGCTAACAGAATAAGAGACCTGACAGGTGATGGTCAGACGTTGACCTGGCTGCACAGTCACAGAGGCTGGCTGTGTCAACTGTTCACACTTTACACCTGTTAAAAAATTTAATCTTTTGTAACTGGAGCTGGACTGGATATATGAAACTGGGGAATTAATGTTTAAGAGTCAACCCTCCAAGTCAGCTGTTTTGTTTGGCTAGCATGTTATAATATATATAAAATCAGTATTTTGTTGTTTTCAGTAAAAACACAACCATATTAATCTTAACAAGTTAAAGTATAAATTATCTTGTTATGAAGGCTCTGTTTCTCACACTTTGAGCATAATGGGCAGCACATGAGAACATTTACAATAATACAAATAGTCCACAGTTTTATTGTGATCACCAGCATCTGCTATATTTCTGAATTATATTGCATTTTTAAAAATATGTTTTGGATTGTGGACATTTTACCATTGTAACTATATTCTGTCAAGCTTTCTGTCTGATGAAATGTTTTCAGCTTGTTCCTCTTTTCAAACTAAAATCCTTTAATTTATGGTTTCTACTTCTGAATATGACATTGTCAATTTAATAGGATTTAACACTTGAAGGAACTCCGTCTATTACTGTTTGTTTGTTTACAGTATAGAACTATAATGTGGATGTATGAAAGTTCTTTTGTAGGTGGTGAAAGACAGATATCATTGAGATCACACTGCTGTTTGTTGTCTGGAGGTTTTTGTGCAGCTGCTCCACTGTCTTCAGTCACTGTGTCTCTTCGAGCACAGAAGTAAACAGCAGAATCTTCTGCTGTCAGGCTGTTGACCTCGAGGTACTGAGTGCTGCTGGGTACATCTTCAGTCATGATGAAACGACTTTGAAAGGAGCTGCCATAGATAGCAGAGTTTGAACCTGTGTTCATCCTCCCAATCCACTCCAGAGCTTTCCCTGGCCTCTGTCTTATCCAGTGAATATTGTAGCTTGTCATGCTATAACCAGATATGATACATGACATCTTCACTTTCTCTCCAGGTCTTTTCACCTCAGAGAGAGTCTGGTCCAGTTTGATCTCACTCCAAACTCCTGTAAGTAAAGAAATGGTGATCATCATCCAACTCATTTTGCAGGTTAGATATTTACAAAAGAGTTTGTTTTGTGTGTTTAAGCAGATTTACTATCTTACCATGAATAGTGACGATAAAGAATAAACCCCAGTAAATCATATTTTCTACACTTATAGTGATATGATTTTTTCTAAGATTTATAAAATGTCCCAGTTGTTCTGTCATAAATGATATGAGAGCTGTTAATGGTGTGAATATAAGGAAGGAAGCATTTGCATAGACCTCCCTCTGCAGGTCTAAAAAGAGAACATGGAAAGTAGATGTACATGTAGTGTTACATTTGTATGTTTTGCCTCTGCTCTGTCCTGTGTCCTGTTCCAGGTCCCGCCCCACCCTCCGACTGGTCAGGCACACCTGCAGTAGTTTAGCAATTAGACCGATTGCCTTAAAGCTGCTGCGACGGAAGAAGACGGGGCCAGTGGGCCAAACCACCAGATAGGGCTGTGTGGCGCTTGTCGCGTGTTACCATTACTCTCCCAGTGGAGGGAGAGTGTTATTCATTTATTTATTGGATCAGTGATTTGTTTAGTTTAAATGGTTTTTCACTTCCTTTCTTTTTAGTAAGTTGTTTTGTGTTAACATTTGACCTCATTTATGTTTAAATAAATAGTTGAATAGTAAAAATATTTCTGTTTACTTCCCTTCTTTAAACACCCGGTTAATTATTAATTGTTGCGCCTTTCTTCCCCTGGACCCCACAACTGAGGTCTAGCACAAAGGAAAATGTAAAAATACCAAATACCTGTCAACATTTGCATTGTAAAATACAGTAGTTGGATGCTACAGGGACAGACATTTTTCATTAATTATAGTCTTAGAATGCAATTAACATTTTATATATCTTTTTGGTCAAATTGTATATTATCGACATACTAACGGCATTTGTTCATGAAAGGACACATACAGTTGATGTTGTTGCATAATCCTGTATGATACAATAAATAATGCAATACCTCATACAGTTGTGCTCATAAGTTTACATACCCTGGCAGAATTTATGATTTCTTGGCCATTTTTCCGAGAATATGAATGATAACACAAAAACTTTTCTTTCACTCATGGTTAGTGGTTGGGTGAAGCCATTTATTATCAAACAACTGTGTTTACTCTTTTTAAATCATAATGACAACAGAAACTACCCAAATTACCCTGATCCAAAGTTTACATACCCCAGTTCTTAATATTGTTTATTGGCTCCTTTAACATCAATGACAGCTTGAAGTCTTTTGTGGTTGTTGTGGATGAGGTGCTTTATTTTCTCAGATGGTAAAGCTGCCCATTCTTCTTGGAAAAAAGCCTCCAGTTACTGTAAATTCTTGGGCTGTCTTGCATGAACTGTTTGAGATCTTCCCAGAGTGGCTCAATGATATTGAGGTCAGGAGACTGAGATGGCCACTCCAGAACCTTCACTTTTATGACAGGTCGACTTGGCCTTGTGTTTTGGATCGTTGTCATGTTGAAACGTCCAAGTACGTCCCATGTGCAGCTTCTGGGCTGATGAGCACAGGTTTTCCTCCAGTATTTTCTGATAACATGCTGCATTCATCTTGCCATCAGTTTTGACCAAGTTTCCTGTGCCTTTGTAGCTCACACATCCCCAAAACATCAGCGATCCACCTTCGTGTTTCACAGTAGGAATGGTGTACCTTTCATCATAGGCCTTGTTGACTCCTCTCCAAATGTAACGTTTATGGTTGTGGCCAAAAAGTTCCATTTTGGTCTCCAGAAGTTTTGTGGCTTGTCTCTGTGCTGTTTGGCGTATTGTAAGCAGGATGCTTTGTGGCATTTGCGTAGTAATGGCTTTCTTCTGGCGACTCGACCATGCAGCCCATTTTTCTTCAAGTGCCTCCTTATTGTGCATCTTGAAACAGCCACACTACTTTTTTCAGAGAGTCCTGTATTTCAGCTGAAGTTATTTGTGGGTTTTTCTTTGCATCCCAAACAATTTTCCTGGCAGCTGTGGCTGAAATTTTTGTTGGTCTACCTGACTGTGGTTTGGTTTCAACAGAATCCCTCATTTTCCACTTCTTAATTAGAGTTTGAACACTGCTGATTGGCATTCTCAATTCCTTGGATATCTTTTTATATCCCTTTCCTGTTTTATACAGTTCAATTACTTTTTCCCGCAGATCCTTTGACAATTCTTTTGCTTTCCCCATGACTCAGAATCCAGGAAACGTCAGTGCAGCACTGGATGAAAGATGCAAGGGTCTGTCAGGAGCTCAGAAACTCACTGACCTTTTATACACAAACACTGATTACAAGCAAACAGATCACAGGTGAGGATGGTTACCTTTAGTAGCCATTCAAACCCGTTTGTATCAACTTGTGTGCATGTTATCAGGCCAAAATCTCCAGGGTATGTAAACTTTTATTTCTGTTTCTGTTGTCATTATGATTTAAAAAGAGTAAACACAGTTGTTTGACAATAAATGGCTTCACCCAACCACTAACCATGAGTGAAAGAAAAGTTTTTCTCCAATCATTCATATTCTCTGAAAAATGGCCAGAAAAATCACAAATTCTGCCAGGGTATGTAAACTTATGAGCACAACTGTATGCTTGTATTGAGGGAAAATTACTTTAAGTTAAGACCCATGGCACAAATGAACTCAAACAGAACTCAATAAAGATTTCCATTTATTAAAACTGCAGTGTGTGATTTTGATTGGGGTCTGCACAGTATTTAAAAAAAAAACACAACTTAAAAAACAGACATAAAACAGTGATATAAAGTCATTAGGAACACATTGCTTCAGAAAGTTATGGCTGTAATCAGCAGAATGATGAAATCAATTTAAAAACTCAACAACTTCTCCCTCAGAGAGTAACTGGCCACAAATACTGATTTATACTTTAACAATGAGTGTGTGTAGTTGAGTCACATGGTTGCTGGGTATTTGTGCAGGTCTGTTGGTGGTTTGTATGACTGTGGGCTGACGTACACAGTAATACACAGCTGTGTCCTCAGGCTGCACATTCTGATCTGTAAGAGTCACTGTTCGAGCAGAAGTGTCTCTGCTGTAACTGAACTTGTTCTTCAGAGCATTGTTTTGATAAAAGCTGCCAGAGCTTCCACCCCACTGATGGGAAATCCAATCCATTGGTTTTCCTTCACACTGTCTGATCCAACCTGTTGCATAGTTGCCATCAGTCAAAGAATAACCAGAGACCTGACAGGTGATGGTCAAAGACTGTCCAGGCTGCACAACCATTGAGTCTGACTGGATGAGATCAATACTGTTCACACCTGTGGAAACAGAAATCAACATTATCTCCATCATTCATCTGACTATTCAGTGTTTCTAATGTGTTTATTAGTATGAATCCACTGAAAGCTCCTCACAGGATTCAGCTGCCAGCAGCAGTATCAGAGCTACAGAGAACATGTTGATGTTGAAGCTGAACTGATGTGAGCTCTTCTGTCCTCTCACTGACACACACACACTTCACTTCCTTAAGAGCAACACACAAGGAGGCTAATTTACATCCTGATGACAGTAAATCAGCTGACTAATGTGTATTTAAATAATTCAACATTAGGATGAAATGTTCAGGCATTTGTCGTCATCTCACACAGAGAGAAGGTGGAACTTCTTCTCTTTTCTTCATCTCTGATAATCACACTATAGACTATTGATTCACTATTGATTCCAGTTTGAAGAATTAACATCTCCATGAAGTTGTGTAAAGACTCCTGACTCTAATGACTAATGCAGCTTTGATTATGATAATGATCTATTAGTTAATTAAGTAGTCAAAGCTTTGAATTGTGTTTTGAACATTTATTTTGAAACATAGAAAACAAGAAAGTATCTTTATTATTTAAAACAGAACTTAACGTTAAAGTTGATTCATTCTTAACACATCATCTAAAACAAGTTCATTCAAAACGTTCAAATTTACACTCAGATCAACAGAATATTTATTGTTCCCAGAGCTGCAATAAAACGGTGTTTATTCTGTGAATGTGAAAATACAGAAAGAAAGTTTGGACTTGTGTGTAGTATTTATTTTAATCATAACTGGACAATGATTTCAGTAACCAGACTGTTGTGCTGTCTGGCTGTTTTGTGAGGAAGTGATTGTTACAGTAACAGATTTTAATGTGTTTAAATGGTTATTGTTGTTTGTTTAATGATTGTCAGAGTATAAAAACAATATGTTAGGATGAGGGTTAATATGACTGAAAGAAAACATGTAGTATTTTTGTGATAGTTGTGCTGCCCTTGATCATTGAGGAACTGATCATTAAAACATTTTATTTATTCAAAGGTTATTAATGTTAATAATTGTTGGTTTAATCTTTCAGTTTTCATGATTTTCTTAAAATCAAAAACAAAAGAAAAAATAACACAGTAATTGTTTGTCATAGTCCGTCAGTCCAGTGAGGATGAGTACTGTAAGTTTTTGTACCGCGTTGCTCCTTCCTGTCTCACTGTGGGTGTCGAGCACAATAATAAACAGCAGAATCTTCAGTCTTCAGACTGTTCATCAGCAGATACACCTGCTGTCTGCTGTTGTCTCTGGAGACGGTAAACCGTCCTTTAAATGACTGAGAGTAGTAGATGTAGCTATTGTCATAGTTGATTAAAGCAATCCACTCCAGTCCTTTTCCAGCAGCCTGTCTGAGCCAAGCATTTGTGTAATGGCCACCAAACCCTGAATATGTACAGGTCAATCTGTGAGATTCTCCAGGCCTTTTAACCACTGGTTCAGACTCAGTCAGTGTTTGACCCTCAGTACCTGCAGACAGTTAAACACATCATTAGTTACTGTAATGCAGCCATATTGTCTTTGTATCAGGAGGTTTGTCAGACAAACAATGATTGTTCTTACCTGCACAGTTAATAGACAGGATGAGAAAAACAACCAAATAATCCGGTCTGATCATTGTAAAAACCAGTTGTCTCTGTCCAGTCTACAGTGTGTATGATTTAGTCTCTGTCCTTCACTCTGCAACACATATGTAGAGATGGAAGAGATCAGAGTTTTGCATTGACTCCTCCTCCTCCTCACAGAGAAACACACCACATCTCACACATCTCTGAAAAACATGATTTAGATCATTTTATATTATAATGATAATTTTGAATGATTACGATGTCCATCTAGTTATTTGACCTGATGTTTATACCAAATTGTATTTATTTATATTGTTCTGCAGCATTTAGTAGTACATCCATATTCCGGGTACATCATGCATAAATATATTCCCAACACCTGCTGGTAAAAATCAATCAATAATGGGAACATTATTATCCAATTTTTATTGTAGAAAACAATATGTTAAATGTAAGACTGACAAACTGGAAGGCACAAACAACAACATCAGCTGTTGTTTTCATAGTGTGTATATGTTTGTTAGACTCTCCAGTTTGAGTTATCTGACTTTATATCTTCTGCTGCCACCTGTTGGTCTTTGTAAACAAATGTTCTGTGGAGTTTTTGTAAAGCCTCTCTGCTTCCTTTAACCACTGTGAGTGTTTGGCACAGTAATACACAGCAGAGTCCTCTGGCTTTAAGTTGGACAGTCTCAGATACACCATGCTGTTGCTATTATCTCTGGTGATTTCTACATGTCCTCGCACACTGCTGGCATATGTGTTACTACTGGCATCAGAGAGGCCTCTCCCTATCCATTCCAGTCCTTTTCCTGCAGGTTGTCTAACCCAGTGCATAGTACAGCAGTTAAATGTGAAGCCAGATCCCCTACAGGACAGACTGACAGTCTCTCCAGGCTTTTTCACTACTGTGCTGGAAGGAATGGACTCCATACTCTGACCTGTACAACCTGATGAGATGAAAGGAGAGAGGAACCACAGAAGAAAGTGAGACAGTCATCTGGGAAGTTTTCTGGTATCACTGACTGACCATCAGTCCATGTTGTCTGATAAAAGATAAAACAGCAAGAAGCAGGAGAACTCACAGGGCAGAGAGAGAGCAACCAGCAGAAGAGTGAGTGTGTTCATCATCCTGAGGCTGGAGATGTGACCTCTGATGCTCCATACAAAGTACAAGAGCAGTCAGCAGGACAGAAGTACACTGCACAGACTGAAGATTTGCATCAGGATATCATGTGGAGGGAGGAGCTCATTTACAGACTCTCTGTTAGAGTTTCATTTCATTATATCATTTATTATTTGTTAGTTTTTTAATGTAGCTGATTGTCCATCCACATAGGATACAATATCACATCCTCTTTGTTGTTCAAAAATAATGAACAAATCATGAAAATTAAATAATATGGTTTACCTGACAGTCAGCGTATTAATCTATGTGACTAAGGATGCTGGGTATTTGTGCAGTTTATTGGTGGTTTGTATGTCTGTGCAACAAGAAAAGATTTTTTCTTCACCTCAGAGGAAGTAGTCATCGTAGTGAAAACACATTAACTTGTAATTTCAGGTTTAATATATCACTGATGTTCATGTTGGAGTCTGAATCAACGTTTTAGGATTTATTTTGCCAAAAGTGCTGATGTGAAATTAACATCTGGAACCTTTTTTTCAACCTCAGTTTAAATTATTGTTACACCGAGGTTTCTCAAAGCCTTGAATCAATATTAAATATTCATTACCAAAACATAAACATCACATTATGCTTTTATAGTGAAATACAAGGGTTTGAACCAAAATCAAACAGCGTTTAAACAATCTGAAACAGCAAGAAGCAGGAGAACTCACAGGGCAGAGAGAGAGCAACCAACCAAAATCAAACAGCGTTTAAACAATCTGACTACGAGCAAAAGACATCATTAAATTACAATTCTGACTTTTAATTTTCAATATGTAGTTAAATGACCCAGAAGGTTTGTTGTCATACAATCTGACTCAAATGAGTTAAATATTGGCATCACTTCCTTTGGTTTTAAAACAGTTTTATTCAAAATTTAAAAAATTGTAAGATTCACTTATTTACTGAATGGTTTCATTTTATTAACTTAATGCAATCACAAGTGTAGTAAAAGCAAGATCATCTAAATGAATAGTTGAGTTTGCTGAAGCTGGTTGAATGCCTGGATTTTATTTTATTTTATTTATTCTTTTTCTTTTTTTTTCTTTTTAAAGGATTCAGCATTTAAACTGTGGCTGTTTGAAGTCACATAGACACAGATATACTTAGGTCCTCAAGGTGAAATTAACTAGTTAGGAACTGAAACATTGTGATGATGTGCTATTTTCTGTGGTGCTCTGTAAAAAATGTCTGCTGGTTTATCTGTCAAATAATGTATGTAAATGTGAAAGGTCATTTATTCTCTCAATTCAAAGTATTAATATAATTTTATTGGAATAATTGTGGTAAAGATGAGTACTGTAGGATTTTGTACAGCTGCTCAACCAACTCCAGTCACTGTGGCTCTCGAGCACAATAATAAACAGCAGAATCTTCAGTCTTCAGACTGTTCATCTGCAGATACACCTGCTGTCTGCTGTTGTCTCTGGAGATGGTAAACTGGCCTTGAACTGACTGAGAGTAGTATTTGCCACTGCCACTGTTGATATAAGCAATCCACTCCAGTCCTTTTCCAGGAGCCTGTCTGACCCAGTTCATCTCGTAGCTGCTGAATGTGAATCCAGAGGCTGTACAGGTCAATCTGTGAGATTCTCCAGGCCTTTTAACCACTGGTTCAGATTCTGTCAGAGTCTGACCATCAACACCTGTTTAAGACAAAAGATATTCATATCAAGTGTTACATTGGCAGCACAAATGAAAATATGTCAAATCAACATCATTGAAGATGTTCACCTGCCCAGCAGATAGTTAACAGCAGCAGTCCTGTCCTATAGTCCATCATGTTAAACTGTGTGTCCACTGTTCTCTGTCATCCTCTCTGCAGTCAGATAAGTAGAGGTGGAAGACATCTGAGTTTTGCATTGACTCCTCCTCCCAGTGTGGAACTGGATTTGACTTGGATCTGAGTTACTGAGTAATTTTAATTACATTTTGACAGAAATATGACACCTTAACAAACGTTGTTTATTATGTTATACTGCTGATTTCTTCACAAAGTGTTCATAAGTCAGATATCAGGGGGATGAAAACCTTGAAATAGATATTAAGAGTCAATAGAAATAAATCAGTCACCCACTCAGACATATAAACTCAAACAAAAGTTGCAGTAAAAACTAAAAGCTTTGTCACTGTCTGCAGTCAGATTATTAAAGGTGGACGACAGCTACATTTTACGGACAGAGTTTGGTATTTAGTTTGTTGTACTTGAGAAACAAAAATGTAGGAGTTGTGACATTAGCCAAATAAATCTGATGAAGGCAAATCTGAATGTAATACTTGTTTAATTTGAATTGTCTTCAAAAGTTGTTTTCTTTCTGTCATTTTTCAATAACACAAACTAAAACCAGAGACTGTCTCTGAGAAACGAATAATATATGATGGCACAATTTAAAAAAAGTATTAATGTAAAGTAGAGGACTGGAACATAAAACGAGAAAATTCGATTTATGATCTGTGATGTCACTCTATGTGTTATCTGTATTTGTAAGATTAAAATAACTTTTTTTGGTGCCTTAAAATCTCATTTTATTTAATTCTCTGTCCATCAGGGAGTAACTGTCCAACACATACTCACTCACTGGGAGCATGGCTGATGGTGGCGACTGTATAGTTCAATCACAACCTTATGGAAGTTCTGACAGTTTGTTTAAAGTTTCTGAATAGAGAGAAGGACAGTGACAGGATATAAAACAAGGATCAACAAGGATCAACTGTCCTGTCCAAGTATTCATAGCTACTATACACATATACTGAAACACACACATACATGAAAAGCCTACTTACGCACACATATTAATACATTCTGATTCTGATAATCTTTTGTATTATATTTAAATCAAATGAAAATGTAAAGACATGAGACGTGAAGAGCGTATATGGATTTAAATGTCACCACTTAGATGATTGGTTCAGCAAACTTGATGAACTTGCTGTAAAAATAACTTTTAATACTCATGAAGTTAGTGGAGGTTAACATATAAATATTGATTATTGAATGATGCAAAGCTTTTTTAAAGGATGTTGTAATAATAATATTATAATGTTGTAATTACATGAGGTTGTCTTCTTTTAAATGCAGGTGCACACACTAAAAAACAGTTTTTTATTTAATAAATATATTTCAGTGATAATCAGTCATTCAGTGGTAAACTGTTGTCAAAGGGCTGACATGCTTCAGTGCTTCTCACACAGGGATCAGTGTTGTTCAGTTTTTGTGCAGCGTTGCAGTCTGGTGTGTCACTGTGGCTCTCGTGCACAATAATAAACTGCAGAGTCTTCTTGTTTCAGACTCCTCACCTCTAAGGACACAAGGTTTTTGGAGGTGTCTTTGGTGATGGAAAACTGGCCTTGGAGACTTTGGGCAAATATTGTGCCAGTTCCGCTATCAATGCGTCCGATCCATTCCAGTCCTTTCCCTGGTTTCTGACGAATCCAGTGCAGCCAAGCCAGAGTGAGTCCTTCCACTTTACAGGACAGAGTGACTGGTTCTCCAGCTCTGCTGACCACTGCCTCTGAGGAGGTGAGGGACTGACCCTGAGCAGCTGAAAGAGACACAGAGTTTAGATGACGGGGAGCCAGCAGACATCCAAAGCTCATTTTCTCCTCCTCCGCTGGACACCGACTTCACTCACCTGAAATGAGAGCCAAGAGGAAGAGACTTTGTACAGCTGTCATGATGGGAACTTGTCTGAGTCTGCAACTGCAAAGGTTATTATGAAGGATATATATTGTGCAGCCAGAATGGGTGGGGATTGTACATCAATGTGTGAATTTGCATTTTAACAGTCAGACATTTTGGAGTTACAGTGTTGATACATAAAGACTAAATCTGTGAGAGAAGGAGGAGTGCTAGACTCTGAGAGAGAGAGAGAGAGTTAAAAACAGACAGAAACACCAACAATAAAGATGTTGTTCAGTCTTTCTTCTTTTTCTGAGTGTCTTCAGTTCAGTGTGAACTCCAAACTAAATGAACACATGAAGCTGCAGTCACTGCTGATCCAGCACTTCAAATGTTCTATTAGTGTTGTGGTGAAGCGAGCTCACAAAGGGTGTGAGTATAAAACTCTAGTTCAGTCCAGGGTTTGAGTGTCAGTCAGTTGAGATCAGTGAGATAAGCAGATATGAGAGTCTCCTTATAGTGACAGAGGAGAGAGAAACTTGACACTGACTGCCATCTAGTGTTTTTATAACGGGAACTGCAACATTATTTTTCATTATTATAATGATCCAAGACGTAAAATTGTCTTCATATCTCAAAGGGGCTTTATTCTATCATTCCAATTTTTCATGATTTTGTTAATCAATTTTTATTTATTGACTTCATATTATTCATTGTATATATTTATGTTATTTTATGTTTGTAATAAACTTAATTTGTGCCATTGGTCCTAATTTGAAGTATCATACTATCAGATGTAGTCTGTCATTTTTAGTTTTACCCAATATTAAAAAGCCAATTAACTGTAGCTTTCCCAGAATAATAATTATCTGTTTCTTTTCAGATGACATTAACTTCATAACTAATGTTTTCAAAACAAAGTTAAAATTTTTCTGGCTGTCTCTTGGAGTAGTTTATTCTTGGCTCCCAGGAACCCCAGTCAGTACTCCTGATATGTTCGATTGAGGGTTAATATTCCTGAAATGTGTACATGTAATATTTATTTCATTCATTTTTGGACAATGATTTCAACCAATTGTTGTTCTGCCCTTGGATGTTTTGTGAGGAACTGATGATTAATTTTATTTTTTTAATGATTTATGTTGGTGGTTAATAATAATCTTTCAGTTTTCAAAACAACGACGACAAAAGAAAAAGCCCAATTAAGATAAGTACTGGAAGTTTTTGTACAGCGTTGCTCCTTCCTGTGTCACTGTGGGTGTCGAGCACAATAATAAACAGCAGAATCTTCAGTCTTCAAACTGTTCATCTGCAGATACAGCTGCTGTCTGCTGTTGTCTCTGGAGATGGTAAACTGGCCTTGAACTGACTGAGAGTAGTATTTGCTGCTACCACCACTCTGAATCCTGGCAACCCACTCCAGTCCTTTTCCAGGAGCCTGTCTGACCCAGTTCACAGCGTAGCTGCTGAATGTGAATCCAGAGGCTGTACAGGTCAATCTGTGAGATTCTCCAGGCCTTTTAACCACTGGTTCAGATTCTGTCAGAGTCTGACCATCAACACCTGTCAAACCAAGAAAGATGCATGTTATTTGTTACATTGTTAGTAAAAATGAAAATATGTCAAATAAAGATCAGTGAAGATGTTCACCTGTCCAGCAGATAGTTAACAGCAGCAGTCCTGTCCTATAGTCCATCGTGTTAAACTGTGTGTCCACTGTTCTCTGTCATCCTCTCTGCAGTCAGATAAATAGAGGTGGAAGACATCTGAGTTTTGCATTGACTCCTCCTCACAGGGGGAAGAGAGCTGAGTTAGACTTGGCTTTCAGTTTATTGTTTTGTTGCTGGAGAATCGATGTTCCATCCAAATGTCCAGAGGTGTTTTACTGTAAAATATCTATGTATGAAAACCACAAACATATTTCCCAACTTTATTTTTACAAAGCTTTTAATTTGTTATTCTGAAATCTTTTACGTTTACAAATGTAGGCGTAAAATTCCATAAAATATAATTTATCTTGGGATTATGGCTTCTCAGTATTCCCTGTAAGCATATTGGGCAGCACATGAGCTTGTATGTCTTTTCAGTTTATATTCAGATCATTTATCTTTTGTACTTGTGAATGTGACATAGGTCATTTATAATAATTACAGCTTTGAAGGGATTCTATTATTGTGATTAATTTAACTTCCTAAAAATAATAAATACAGTACAATATAGAAATATAATGTGGATATGTGAAAGTGCTTTTGCAGGTGGTGGGGAGAAAACCCAGATATCAAGAAGATCACACTGCTGTTTGTTGTCTGTGGAGGTTTTTTCTTGCATCTGCTCCACTGTCTTCAGTCACTGTGTCTCTTCGAGCACAGAAGTAAACAGCAGAATCTTCTGCTGTCAGGCTGTTGACCTCGAGGTACTGAGTGCTGCTGGACACATCTTCAGTCATGATGAAACGACTTTGAAAGGAGCTGGAATAGGTAGCAGAGTTTGAACCTGCATCCATCCTCCCAAGCCACTCCAGAGCTTTCCCTGGCCTCTGTCTTATCCAGTGAATAAAGTAGCTTGTCATGTCAAACCCAGATATGATACATGACATCTTCACTGTCTCTCCAGGTCTTTTCACCTCAGAGGGAGTCTGGTCCAGTTTGATCTCACTCCAAACTCCTGTAAGTAAAGAAATATATGTGTCATACATAATATATTAAACATTACATTTTATTATATCAGAATTGATTTTCTTACCATGAATAGCCATTAGAAATAATAAACTCCATACAATCATATTTTCCATTCTATAGAAAATTGTGGAGTTCACTGATTTCTGATCAAAGTCTTTCTAGGATTTATAAGACTGTGTCAGTTGTCCTGTCTAAAATGATTTCACAGTTGCTGTTGGTGTGTTTATAAAGAAGGAAGAGTTTGCATAGACCTCCCTCTACAGGATTAAAAAGGGAAGATAGAAGATGAATGCACTTTAACTGAATATTTGAACAACAGGAAAAAAAATACATGGCATTGCACTGTAAACATACTACATGTAAATGCAACCAGGTGGTAAAAGCAAAAGCTCAAGTAAACTGGATATTTAGGAAATTAAACCTCTGTAAATAAAATGCTCTTTAACTAGAGGTGGAAGACATGTGAGTTTTGCATGAACTCCTCTATGCTATGTGTTGTCCAGTCATATTTTCACTATATTTGATCATATTCTTGCCCAGTTTTTACTTTTACTTTATTCAGTATGGTCTGACAATACAATGAAATCAACATGAAACAGACTTCCTGTAAAGGATGATGATTTACAGTTTTTACTCATTCTCTCAAACATCAACAGAAACACTTCTTTCCTTCCTGGATATCAAATATACATCATTTTACTATTTTAAATGTGTTTCACCACAAAGATTTAGTTAGTTTGCTGAAACTGAACAATGCATGTTCACTAAAGGACTCACTGTCGACTGTGACTCAAAGTAGAATAATTATCTATTGTATTGTATGATGATTGCCAGAAAGACACTATATTTCCAATATGACAATAAACTAAACTAACAAACTCTTATATGAATACTTAACATCTAATCCTGTCTAACCTGACAACAAACTCTACTGAACATACTCAAAGCTTAAAATAAGAAATTAACATTTCTTTATATAGGTTTTACAGCGAATTTACAGTAACAACTTTCTTAAAAATAGAAGATATAAATTCTACTTCTCTATATTTGAGAAATGAGATAAAATAAAACTGAAATATTCAAATAGAGGAAATAGTTTTTGTACGACTCTGCTGTTATTGTCTCTCACTGTGTCTCTCTGGCACAGTAATACACAGCAGAGTCTTCAGGCTGCACATTCTGTCCGTTTAGAGTCACTGTGTTACTGGAAGAGTCTAAGTCGATACTGAACTTGTTCTTCAGTGAATCTTTGTAATATGAAGCTCCAGTATATTTCATTCCAATCCACTCCAGTCCTTTCACTGCAGGCTGTCTGATCCAAGCTGTGTAGTAGCTGCTAACAGAATAAGAGACCTGACAGGTGATGGTCAGACGTTGACCACACCTGTTAAAAAAGAAAATGTTTTGTAACAAATGATCAGGTTATACTGCAAAAGAAGAACTGTTGACTTTGACAAATCCAGAGAGACTCACATCCAGCTGCCAACAGCAGCAGCAGAGCTACAGAGAACATGGTTTATGTTGAAACTGACGTGCTGTGAACTCCACTGACAGCCTGATGGGAAGTTTTTATAGCTGAGTAACAAGGAAGGTCACTGAGTTTGCATAGAATCAAACATATGAAGCATCAATGTTGGTCTAACTGGAGCCCATAGAAGAGTCTGTTGACTGTTATTATATCTGCAGAGTGAAAACATGCCTGGAAATCACCTCTGCTTTACATATGATATTGTAACTTAATTACACACTCAACTGTAACATTTTTAAAATGAAACTTTACATTTACAGTTACAGTTAAATAATAAAAAAACTGTAACATTTGCTTTTTTTAATATAAACTATTGCCGTCTAAATGTTTTGACAACAATTTGGTATTAAAACATTATGTATTTTTTCAATTGATTGCAGTGTTTTACTGCACCATTAATTTATGCATTTATTCACTCACATATTGTATCCGCTGCAAGCAGAAATATAGTGACAGCAAGGATAATGTAAATTGTATGTAAACTTCAGTGTGATGCTACTGGTTTGCATAAAAATGACTGGACCTGAGGACATTCATCATGTGAGACAGTGCAGGGTCTATCAGCCCACTGAGGATGAGAAAAGAGAGTTTTTGCTTAAAAATCCCAGAAAATGTTTGTTACTGCAGGATTAGTTGTTCATCCATCTTCAATCAGTCTCATAAGCACAAGAACACACAGCAGCTCCTTCAGGCTTCCTGCTGTTCATCTTGAGATCTGCCTTATAATCAAGTTAACACAGGACTTTGACTTTCCATCTGATTGGGTGTAAAATGGCGCACGCTCTGCTGCAACAGCACACACTGTGACTCTGCTTTGTTTTCCCCCATCTTCTCCTTCTACTATATCAAAGTATCATCCAGCCCATCCTCATATACTGCTCCTCCTCTTTTTACAACATGCTAACTGTCACCAAACGGACAAAATTCATACGCATCACCAACACAGCGGCCAAGATAATCGGACTCCCCACACCCAATCTCACAGAACTAAACAACAGGGCCATCTCACACATTGCAACCACAATAGAACTGGACATTACACACCCACTCAATCAATATCTCACCCCACTGCCTTCTGGACGGAGGTACCGAACATTGAGGTGCAAGAAAGCTCGCTATGGGAAAAGTCTGATCCCTGCAGCTACTGCTGCTTTAAACAAAGGGGTGCACTGAGTGTGTAACCTGTCATATATTATTTATTTGATTGTTTGTTTGTTTGTTTGTTTGTTTGTTTTTGTTTTGTTTTGTTGTGTAGATTTGTTAATTGTGGTTAGCATGTTTCTTTGTTGAGTGTATGGTGTTGCCTGCAGGTGCAGTGATGTGGACATGAATTTCCCCCTTGGAGGACAATAAATTGAATTGAATTGAATTGAATTGAATTGAATTGAATTGAATTTTGTTTAGGATAGAAAAGTATCAACTCTCACAATATCCAGTTTACATGAGCAGCAGGAGTATTACGCTTTAGTTCAGTCCAGAGTTCAAGTGTCATTCAGTTAAGATAAATTCAATTCAATTCAATTAAATTTTATTTGTATAGCGCCAATTCATAACAGAAGTTATCTCAGGACACTTTTCAAATAGAGCAGGAACTCGAACTCTTTAAAACCTTAATTTCAGAGACCCAACAGTACCACCATGAGCAAGCTCTTGGCGACAAGGGCAAGGAAAAACTGCCTGTTAAAAGGCAGAAACCTAGGACAGATCCTCCAGCTCTAGGTGGGTGGTCGCCTGTCTCGACCAGTTGGGGTGAGAGAGAGATAGAGAGAGAGACAGAGAGACAGAGAGAGAGAGCGAGAGACAGACAGACAGACAGACAGGTGCACAGCAACAACAATAAATGAGAACACCAGGTCTTGCGCCCATGATGAATAAAAAAACATACTTAATATCAAGCATTTTTACAGCACCAATTTGGAGAAATTCAAAAATAAAAGTCCCATATTTATACCTCCAGATTCAATATTTGACCATATTTGAGCTACTGTAAAAACACTTTGCTCAAAAATTCCTGGCTATGGATTGTATATTTGACTTCTACACATATAAGACTACAAGTATACTTAATATTAAGCATTTTTACTGCACCAATTTGGAGAAATTCAACAATAACATTCCATATTTGTAACTGCTTTTACTGTACCTCTACTATAAGAAAATATGCCACTTGGAGATACAAATATGGACTTTTATTATTAACATATTTTCATCATAATGCTGAGAATACTCGGTATTAAACGGAGGAAATAAAATGTATGAATGTATGGCCCTTTAGGGCTTCCGTAAGATATAACATATGTTTAAATGAAGTATTTATTTACATAAACACTGCATGTACTAAAGTAAATACATTTTGTTTCCTACACTTTCTTGCCGTCTCTCGGAAATGTTTTTAATGAATCTACAGAATGTGATGGAAACATTTTCTTGTTTTGTGCTTTAGTTCAGTCCAGAGTTCAAGTGTCAGTCAGTTAAGATCAATGAGAACAGCAGATCTGAGTTTCTCCTTTTAGTAACAGAGGAGAGAGAAAGTTGACACTGACTGCCCTCTAGTGTCTTTATAACTGGAACTGTGAGATCATTTTTCACTCTCATACTGTGAGCTACTTTAGATGCCAAATGATATAAACATTAATGTGTAGCTGCATGTCTTTCTTTTATTCAGACCTGGACAGTGATTTAAGCAGACTGTTTGGCTGTCATTGGCTGTTTTTGAAGAAGTGATCATTAAAGGAAGAAATTGTATTTATTTAGTTGCTTAATTGTTATTGTTGTTATGATCTTCCTCACAGATTGTTATGTTTTCTTAAAGAAATAAAAGCAAAATAAAAATACAAATCTTTTCTAAAGTAAAGTAAAGATGAGTACTGTAGGATTTTGTACAGCTGCTCAACCAACTCCAGTCACTGTGGGTGTCGAGCACAATAATAAACAGCAGAATCTTCAGTCTTCAGACTGTTCATCTGCAGATACACCTGCTGTCTGCTGTTGTCTCTGGAGATGGTAAACCGGCCTTGAACTGACTGAGAGTAGTAGATGTAGCTACTGTCATATCTGATATAAGCGATCCACTCCAGTCCTTTTCCAGGAGCCTGTCTGATCCAGTGCATGCTGTGGTCACTGAATGTGAATCCAGAGGCTGTACAGGTCAATCTGTGAGATTCTCCAGGCCTTTTAACCACTGGTTCAGATTCTGTTAGAGTCTGACCATTAACACCTGTCAAACCAAGAAAGACAGTAATGTTATGTGTTACATTGGTAGAAAAAAATGAAAATATGTCAAATCAACATCAGTGAAGATGTTCACCTGCCCAGCAGATAGTTAACAGCAGCAGTCCTGTCCTATAGTCCATCATGTTAAACTGTGTGTCCACTGTTCTCTGTCATCCTCTCTGCAGTCAGATAAGTAGAGGTGGAAGACATCTGAGTTTTGCATTGACTCCTCCTCACAGGGAGGAGAGTGCTGGGTTGGATGTTTTTGTTACTGACCCTTACTTGTAGAACTGAGCAGTGTACTGTGCTCAACTTATCATCAAAACTTAGCTTGGGTCCAGTGTTTAACATTTAGGAGGATCTATTGGCTGAACTGGAATATAATATTAATATGTATGTTTTCATTAGTGTATAATCACCTAAAACAAAAATAGTTGGGTTTTTCTTCCCTTAGATGCCACTAAATCCCACACATTGGTCCTTTAAGATGATATTTGTGTCATGATATAAGAACATCATTTCATGCCTGAATAAATAAACAGTCGCTCCTTCAGTCTTCTAGCTGTTTATCTTGAAATCTCTTTGAGATGGTGAACTCCAAACTAAATGAACACATGAAGCTGCAGTCACTGCTGATCCAGCACTTCAAATGTTCTATTAGTGTTGTGGTGAAGCGAGCTCACAAAGGGTGTGAGTATAAAACTCTAGTTCAGTCCAGGGTTTGAGTGTCAGTCAGTTGAGATCAGTGAGATAAGCAGATATGAGAGTCTCCTTATAGTGACAGAGGAGAGAGAAAGTTGACACTGACTGCCATCTAGTGTTTTTATAATGGGAACTGCAACATTAGTTTTCATTCTCATGATTAGCCAAATCATATAAACATTAATCTTAAATCCCACTGATCCAAGAGGTAAAATTGTTTTCAAATCTCAAAGGGGCTTTATTCTATCATTCCAATTTTTCATTATTTTGTCGATCAGTTTTTATTTATTGACTTTATATCATTCATTGTATGTATTTATGTTATTTTATGTTATTTGTAATAAACTTAATTTGTGCCATGGGTCCTAATTTGAAGTATCACACTATCAGATGTAGTCTGTCATTTTTAGTTTTACCCAATATTAAAAAGCCAATTAACTGTAGCTTTCCCAGAATAATAATTATCTGTTTCTTTTCAGATGACATTAACTTCATAACTAATGTTTTCAAAACAACGTAAAACAATTTTCTGGCTGTCTCCTGGAGTAGTTTATTCTTGGCTCCCAGGGACCCCAGTCAGTACTCCTGATATGTTTGAATGACGGTTAATATGCCTGAAATGTGTACATGTAATATTTATTTGATTCATTTTCGGACAATGATTTTAACTGATTGTTGTGCTGCCCTTGGCTGTTTTGTGAGGAACTGATCATTAAAACATTTTATTTTTTAATGATTTATGTTGGTGGTTAATAATAATCTTTCAGTTTTCAAAACAACAACAACAACAAAAGAAAAAAACCCAGTAAAGATAAGTACTGGAGGTTTTTGCCAGAGGACTCTGCTGTGTCCAACTGATTTCTACACGTCCTCGCACACTGCTGGCATATGTGTTACTACTGGCATCAGACCAGCCAACCCCTATCCATTCCAGTCCTTTTCCTGCAGGTTGTCTGACCCTGTGCATAATACAGCAGTTAAATGTGAAGCCAGATCCCCTGCAGGACAGACTGAGAGTATCTCCAGGCTTTTTCACTACTGAACTGGAAGGAATGGACTCCATACTCTGACCTGTACAACCTGATGAGATGAAAGGAGAGAGGAACCACAGAAGAAAGTGAGACAGTCATCTGGGAAGTTTTCTGGTATCACTGACTGACCATCAGTCCATGTTGTCTGATAAAAGATAAAACAGCAAGAAGCAGGAGAACTCACAGGGCAGAGAGAGAGCAACCAGCAGAAGAGTGAGTGTGTTCATCATCCTGAGGCTGGAGATGTGACCTCTGATGCTCCACACAAAGTACAAGAGCAGTCAGCAGGACAGAAGTACACTGCACAGACTGAAGATTTGCATCAGGATATCATGTGGAGGGAGGGGCTCATTTACAGCCTCTCTGTTAGAGGTTCATTTCATTATATCATTTATTATTTGTTAGTTTTTTAATGTAGCTGATTGTCCATCGACATAGGATACAATATCACATCCTCTTTGTTGTTCAAAAACAATTAACAAATAATGAAAATTAAATAATATGACTACCTGACAGTCAGCGTATAATGTGATGAAGGCTGCTGTGTATTTGTGTCATTTATTGGTGGTTTGTATGTCTGTGCAACCACGTAGAAAGAAAAAACTCAGATTTTTTCTTCACCTCAGAGGAAGAGAAGGTGTAACTGCATTGAATCGTAGTGGAAACACATTAACTTGTAATTTCAGGTTTAATATCTCACTGATGTTCATGTTGGAGTCTGAATCAATGTTTTAGGATTTATTTTGCCAAAAGTGCTGATGTGAAATTAACATCTGGAACCTTTTTTTCAACCTCAGCTTAAATTATTGTTACACTGAGGCTTCTCAAAACCTTGAATCAATATTAAATATTCATTACCAAAACATAAACATCACATTATGCTTTTATAGTGAAATTCAAGGGTTTGAACCAAAATCAAACAGCGTTTAAACAACCTGACTACGAGCAAAAGACATCATTAAGTTACAATTCAGGCTTTTTATTTTTCAATATGTAGTTTTTTAAATGACCCAGAAGGTTGTTCTCATACAATCTGACTCAAATGAGTTAAATATTGGCTTCACTTCCTTTGGTTTTAAAACTGTTTAATTCAGAAATCCCCAGATTGGTTTCATTTTATTTACTTAATGCAATCACAAGTGTAGTAAAAGCAAGATCATCTAAATGAATACTTGAGTTTGCTGAAGCTGGTTGAATGCTGGATTTTATTTATTCTTTTTCTTTTTTTTTTTTTCTTTTTAAAGGATTCAGCATTTAAACTGTGGCTGTTTGAAGTCACACAGATATAGGATATAGGTCCTCAAAGTGAGATTAACTAGTTAGGAACTGAAACATTGTTATGATGTGCTATTTTCTGTGGTGCTCTGTAAAAAATGTTTGCTGGTTTATCTGTCAAATAATGTATGTAAATGTGAAAGGTCATTTATTCTCTCAATTCAAACCAATAATATCATTTTATTGGAATAATTGTGGTAAAGATGAGTACTGCAGGATTTTGCACAGCTGCTCAACCAACTCCAGTCACTGTGAGTCTTGAGCACAATAATAAACAGCAAAATCTTCAGTCTTCAGACTGTTCATCTGCAGATACACCTGCTGTCTGCTGTTGTCTCTGGAGACAACACAGTCTCACTTCCTACTCGTCAGTCCTTTTCCAGCAGCCTGTCTGATCCAAGCATTATGAATATGACTACTAGACCCTGAATATGTGCATGTCAGTGTGTGAGATTCTCCAGGCCTTTTAACCACTGGTTCAGATTCTGTCAGAGTCTGACCATCAACACCTGTTAAACCAAGAAAGATATTCATGTTATGTGTTACATTGGCAGCACAAATAAAATTATGTCAACTAAAGATCATTGAAGATGTTCACCTGCCCAGCAGATAGTTAACAGCAGCAGTCCTGTCCTATAGCTCATCATGTTAAACTGTGTGTCCACTGTTCTCTGTCATCCTCTCTGCAGCCAGATAAGTAGAGGTGGAAGACATCTGAGTTTTGCATTGACTCCTCCTCACAGGGAGGAGAGAGCTGGACTGGACGTTTTTGTAATTGATCCTCACTTGTGAAACTGAGCCGTGTAATGTGCTCAACCTCTCATCAAAACTTAGCTTGGGTCCAGTGTTTAACATTTAGGAGGATCTATTGGCAGAAATGGAATATAATATTCATAGGTGTGTTTTCATTAGTGTATAGTCACCTGAAAATAAAAATACTTGTGTTTTCCTTCCCTTAGATTCAAATAAATCCCACGCTTTGGTCCTTTAAGTTGATATTTGTGTCATGATATAAGAACATCATTTCATGCATTTGAATAAATAGTGGTGAACTACAGCTAAATGAACACATGAAGCTGCAGTCACTGCTGATCCAGCACTTCAGATGTTCTATTAGTGTTGTGGTGAAGCGAGCTCACAAAGGGTGTGAGTATAAAACTCTAGTTCAGTCCAGGGTTTGAGTGTCAGTCAGTTGAAATCAGTGAGATAAGCAGATATGAGAGTCTCCTTATAGTGACAGAGGAGAGAGAAACTTGACACTGACTGCCATCTAGTGTTTTTATAACGGGAACTGCAACATTATTTTTCATGCCAAACATTATAAACATTAATGTGGCTAAGATATGTAGAATTATTTTTTTGTTTTTTATTCATTCATGTGTTCAGATCCTTTCTTTAATTCATTTATTTGATTTTGTTCAGTGATTTCAGCAGATTGTTATTCTGTCGTTTGCTATTTTGTGAGGAAGTGATAAGACTTTTGTTTGATGTTATTGTTGTTGGTTGATGATGATCTTTCTTAGAGCCTGTCACGAATCCCCGGCTGTGAGGACTGTTTGGGTGTCTTGTGTTGTCTTGTGGTGTTTGTGTCACTCTTCTGGCAGTGCTCCGAGGGGGGGCGTGTCTATCTCTGGCTGCTCACACACCTGGCTGAGGTCATCACCATACCTGCTCCTCATCAGTCTTCAGCAGTACTTAAGGAGCAGCCACACATCCAGTCAATGCTAGATCGTTGTGAAGTATTGAGTATGCTACTGCTTTCCAGCCAGTTATTTATCGTTGCTACCGTTTGTTGCCTGTCTGCTTCTGCCTGCCTGAGCCGTTCTCTTGCCGTCTGTTTTTGTATGCAACTAACCGTGTCTCTCTGCCTCAGGAATCATTCCCGGGACTCAGGTCTGGAACCCTGTCCACTCAGCCCACGCCTCCTGTAAGCCAGCCACTGGATCCCCACACTCCAGGTCTACCAGCCAGCCACTCTCTCGATCACCCCCACCTCTGGAATCCCACTCTCGCCTGCCAGCTTCCCCTTTTTTTCACTATTCACTCGTTGTCTAATAAACCGTTTAAACACAACCTCTTGTCCGATCTGCTTCTGGGTTCCCCTCAGAACCCTGACAGAGCCAGTTTTCACGGCTTAATTAAAAACTATCTATACATTTCACTGCATGGCTTCCCATGAAATTCTGAATTCATTATAAGATCCTGCTGATTACACAGAAAACACTTCATGACTTTGTCTCCAGTTAAACTTCTGATCACCGTCTGTTCCTCATTTCACTTTCCGACTACTCCGATCTTCAAATATTGGCCCTTCATCCCTCGTTCCAACTGCAAAACAAAAGATGACTGCTGTCTGCTGTTTTAGCTCCAACCTCTGGAATCATCTTCCCCAATCACTGAAATTAATCGTTGGACTGTTTTAAGTAGCTTCTAGAAACCAATCTCTATGGACAAGGCTATTTATAGATCTCCTGCCCTGTCTTTTTGTGTTTTAGTTTGGTCTCTCTCTTATTGTGCTTAATTTATGTTAACTTTTCATTTTTTTCATTTTTATTTGTTTATTTGTTTGTTTGTGAAAAACTTTGTAACTGTAAAGTACTTCATAAATAACACTTTACTTACTTATATATTTTGTGTGCGTGAAACTGTATATCTTCCTATATATAATTATATATATATATATAATTTAGTCTTAAATGATGTTCTTTTTTATTTTAATAATTCATTCATCAATTGCTTTTCATTGTGCAATCCTGTATTTTACTATGACAATTAAATTAAACCTTGAACCAATTACAGTTAAGAACAGTGATACTGTACAAAGTGAATGTTCTCAGTGGTTGTAAATAGAGGAAGTAGTTTTTGTATGACTCGCCTGTTATTATCTCTCACTGTGTGTCTTCTGGCACAGTAATACACAGCAGAGTCTTCAGGCTGCACATTCTGTCCATTTAGAGTCACTGTGTTACTGGAAGAGTCCAAGGTGACACTGAAATTGTTCTTCAGTGAATCTTTGATGTTCGTATCAAAACTAATCCACTCCAGTTCTTTCCCTGCAGGCTGTCTGATCCAAGCTGTGTGATAGCTGCCCAGAGAATAAGAGACCTGACAGGTGATGGTCAGACGTTGACCTGGCTGCACAGTCACAGAGGCTGGCTGTGTCAACTGTTCACAATTCACACCTGTTAAAAAAGAAAATGTTTTGTAACAAATGATCAAGTTATACTGCAAAAGAAGAACTGCTGACTTTGACAAATCCAGAGGGACTCACATCCAGCTGCCAACAGCAGCAGCAGAGCTACAGAGAACATGGTTTATGTTGAAACTGACGTGCTGTGAACTCCACTGACAGCCTGATGGGAAGTTTTTATAGCTGAGTAACAAGGAAGGTCACTGAGTTTGCATAGAATCAAACATATGAAGCATCAATGTTGGTCTAACTGGAGCCAATAGAAGAGTCTGTTGACTGTTATTATATCTGCAGAGTGAAAACATGCCTGGAAATCACCTCTGCTTTACATATGATATTTTAACTTTATTACACACTGAACTTTAACATTATGAAAATGTCCCTGCATTTACAAAAATTTAACTTTTTATTAACTAGAAACATTTAATGTCTAAATGTATTGTATTACAATAATCTTGTATTAAACATTACGTAATTCTACTATAATAGCAAACAACATTTATTGATCATTATTGCTAATCTCAATGTGAATATCATCACAACTCATGGATGATTGAAAACATTTTTTAAAAATCAGCATTGCAAAAACAATGATGATGTATACCCATTAAATAAAATGGATGAAAAATGTTGCTTTCTATAAGCTGTGTTTACAGTGTGTTTATCCTGTTTTTAAATGATGAAAACACACTTTAATTATAATGTCAGTTGTTTTATTCACTGTCAGCACCTCCTACATCACTTTCATGATTAACTTCAAATATATGAGCACAGTCTCTTTGTAATGTGGAATTGTTTCTTCATTTATTTGGTCATTTACCATACTTACTTAATGCAGCCATGGTGATGTAAAGTTTATTGAAATGTCAGTCTGATGCTGGTTTGCATAACATACCTTTAATGGTTGCAGTGTTTGCAGATGTTTGAAGACATACAGAGAAACAAACAAACCAGTGTGACAAATGCAGAAGACTAAATCCTTTAACTTAGCTGAAAACTTTCGTAGTTCATTGAAATAACTTTTGTGTTTATCACTGCAGCTTACATTTAGTTGACTTTTGTTTCTTGTTTGTTATGTTTTTTATTTCCAAACAAAATAAAAATAAAAACTCATGAAACTGTAACACATGTTGATTCCTGCCTACAGGGAGTAGTTACCTTTTATCCAATTAATTATGGGCAATTATATTTGTATTTCCCTTTTCTTTTGCATCAAACTATTTCTCGTGAAACAATGTAAAATGCTATCATACATCAGTAAATGTGTATCATTTTAGGTTCAGAGTATCTGGAAGTTTTTTGCTCAAAAATCCCAGAAAATGTTTGTTACTGCAGGATTAGTTGTTCATCCATCTTCAATCAGTCTCACAAGCACAAGAACACACAGCAGCTCCTTCAGGCTTCCTGCTGTTCATCTCGAGATCTACTTCCTGTCTGCTGAGATGAGCTGACACTAACAGATGGAGCTGCAGTCACTGCTGATGGTGAACACCTTATAGTCAAACTTTAGTGTTTAAATTGTGCTGAATGAAGTTAACACAAGACTTTTGTTTAGGATAGAAAAATATCAACTATCAAAATATCCAGTGTAAGATAACAAGTTATCTTTATTGTGTTTTTTATATTCTTAATGTTTAATAGGTTTTAATATATTATCAATACATTTTCTAAGGACCAACTTTAAGAACTTTGTATAATGTCTTATTTAAAACAAAATATGTGTTACATAACATTGTAAATATAAAACAATATATATAAAATAAATATGAAAAAATGAACAATAACAAGTATACGATGAATACTATTTTCTTTTTTTTTATCTTGATTGGGCTCTACCAATTACTAAAAAATAGTGCTGTAGGATTTTGTACAGCTGCTCAACCAACTCCAGTCACTGTGGCTCTCGAGCACAATAATAAACAGCAGAATCTTCAGTCTTCAGACTGTTCATCTGCAGATACACCTGCTGTCTGTTGTTGTCTCTGGAGATGGTAAACCGGCCTTGAACTGACTGGGAGTAGTAGATGTAGCTACCAGTATCAACAGTGGCAATCCACTCCAGTCCTTTTCCAGGAGCCTGTCTGACCCAGTGCATATAGTAGCTGCTGAATGTGAATCCAGAGGTTGTACAGGTCAATCTGTGAGATTCTCCAGGCCTTTTAACCACTGGTTCAGATTCTGTCAGAGTCTGACCATCAACACCTGTCAAACCAAGAAAGATGCATGTCATGTGTTACATTGTTAGTAAAAATAAAAATATGTCAAATCAAGATCAGTGAAGATGTTCACCTGCCCAGCAGATAGTTAACAGCAGCAGTCCTGTCCTATAGTCCATCATGTTAAACTGTGTGTCCACTGTTCTCTGTCATCCTCTCTGCAGTCAGATAAGTAGAGGTGGAAGACATCTGAGTTTTGCATTGACTCCTCCTCACAGTGTGGAACTGGATTTGACTTGGATCTCAGTTGATGTTTGGTGAATCTGCAGAATAAATGTTTACTGTACATTAGTCATTCCTCCAAGAGTCCCTCTTGCATGTTTCAGTATAATGTGTGCAACAGGTTGACAAACGCATTATTTAAGTTGGTTGACCCTTATTAAAGACCACAGTCTGCATCATGTGGAGACCTCAACAATAGTTTATCAATTTTACCATACACCTAAAGTGAGTATTTTTAATTAGGCTACATTTTAATGTAAATTAATATCAAATAACACACTTCATAAGTCATTCCATTTTCAAGATTTTAGGGGAACAAAAACCTGATTATATGATAAAAGTAAAGAATACTGTCGAGAACATGGATGCCATGAATACCCATGTTTTTCAGTGTATACAAAGAAATTCCATAAGTTATATTTGTGAGGCAGACAGAGAAAACATGTTTTGTAAAATGACTCCATTGTATGTTTGTTGTTTTTGTATTTTTATTCCATATTATAATAAAAAATATATATATTCCTTTACCTTTTTCAATTCTTATCATGTCTGTTTCTCTCTTCACTGTAACAGTGAACTGGTGTTGAAATCATTAGTGGTCTGAGGGCTCCTCCTCTGGTGGCTTCATGTTACAAGTGTTCAGGCACTGAGGGGTTTTTGTTCAGGTCTACTGATGGTTTGTGTTATTGTGTCTCTCTGGCACAGTAATACACAGCAGAGTCTTCAGGCTGCACATTCTGTCCGTTTAGAGTCACTGTGTTACTGGATGAGTCTAAGTCGATACTGAACTTGTTCTTCAGTGAATCTTTGTAATATGAATCTCCAGTATATTTGCCTCCAATCCACTCCAGTCCTTTCCCTGCAGGCTGTCTGATCCAATGTGTGCGATAGCTGCCCAGAGAATAAGAGACCTGACAGGTGATGGTCAGACGTTGACCTGGCTGCACAGTCACAGAGGCTGGCTGTGTCAACTGTTCACACTTTACACCTGTGGAGGAAAACATGTTGAATATTGAATCAGTGTGATAACAGTGAACAGTCAGTGTGCTGTGATCATACTGTCAGTGTCTCTGCCTCAGTGAGACTCACAGGATCCAGCAGCCAGCAGCAGCAGCAGAGCTACAGAGAACATGGTTGGTATTGAAGGTGATCTGATGGGAGCTTCTCTTCTTCTGCTGCAACTGACAGCATGAAATAAAGTCTTTATAGCAGACTGTGAGGAAGTTCACTTTGCATAGAGAAGGACACTGACAGCCTATAAAAGATGGATCAACTGTCCTGTCCAAGTATTCATAGCTACTATACACATATACTGAAACACACACATACATATAAAGCCTACTTACGCACACATATTAATACATTCTGATTCTGATAATCTTTTGGATTATATTTAAATCAAATGAAAATGTAAAGACGAGACGTGAAGAGCGTATATGGACTAAAATGTCAGCACTTAGATGATTGGTTCAACAAACTTGATGAACTTGCTGTAAAAATAACTTTTAAAGCTCATGAAGTAAGTGGAGGTTAATATATAAAAAAATTAATATTGAATGATGTAAAGCTTTTTTAAAGGATGTTGTAATAATAATATTATAATGCTGTAATTAAATAGGGTTGTCTACTTTTAAATGCAGGTGCACACACTGAAAAACAGTTTTTTATTTAATAAATATATTTCAGATATAATCAGTCATTCAGTGGTTAACTGTTTTCAAAGGGCTGACAAGCTTCAGTGCTTCTCACACAGGGATCAGTGTTGTTCAGTGTTTGTGCAGCGTTGCAGTCTGGTGTGTCACTGTGGCTCTCGTGCACAATAATAAACTGCAGAGTCTTCTTGTTTCAGACTCCTCACCTCTAAGGACACAAGGTTTTTGGAGGTGTCTTTGGTGATGGAAAACTGGCCTTGGAGACTTTGGGCAAATATTGTGCCAGTTCCGCTATCAATGCGTCCGATCCATTCCAGTCCTTTCCCTGGTTTCTGACGAATCCAGTGCAGCCAAGCCAGAATGAGTCCTTCCACTTTACAGGACAGAGTGACTGGTTCTCAGCTCTGCTGACCACTGGCTCTGAGGAGGTGAGGGACTGACCCTGAGCAGCTGAAAGAGACACAGAGTTTAGATGACGGGGAGCAAGTAGACATCCAAAGCTCATTTTCTCCTCAGCTGGACACCGACTTCACTCACCTGAAATGAGAGCCAAGAGGAAGAGACTTTGTACAGCTGTCATGGTGGGAACTTGGCTGAGTCTGCAACTGCAAAGGTTATTATGAAGGATATATATTGTGCAGGCAGAATGGGTGGGGATTGTGTATCAGTGTGTGAATTTGCATTTTACCAGTCAGACATTTTGGAGTTACAGTGTTGATACATAAAGACTAAATCTGTGAGAGAAGAAGGAGTGCTGGACTCTGAGAGAGAGAGAGAGAGAGAGAGTTAAAAACAGACAGAAACACCAACAATAAAGATGTTGTTCAGTCTTTCTTCTTTTTCTGAGTGTCTTCAGTTCAGTGTGAACTCCAAACTAAATGAACACATGAAGCTGCAGTCACTGCTGATCCAGCACTTCAAATGTTCTATTAGTGTTGTGGTGAAGCGAGCTCACAAAGGGTGTGAGTATAAAACTCTAGTTCAGTCCAGGGTTTGAGTGTCAGTCAGTTGAGATCAGTGAGATAAGCAGATATGAGAGTCTCCTTATAGTGACAGAGGAGAGAGAAACTTGACACTGACTGCCATCTAGTGTTTTTATAATGGGAACTGCAACATTATTTTTCACTCTCATAATTGTGACTTAACCAAATCATATAAACATTAATCTTAAATCCCACTGATCCAAGAGGTTAAATTGTTGTCAAATCACAAAGGGGCTTTATTATATCATTCCAATTTTTCATGATTTTGTCAATCGATTTTTATTTATTGACTTCATATTATTCATTGTATATATTTATGTTATTTTATATTTGTAAAAAACTTAATTTGTATCATTGGTCCTAATTTGAAGTATCACTATCAGATGTAATCTGTCTTTTACCCAATATGCCAGTTAACTATAGCTTTCCCAAAATAATAATTATCTGTTTCTTTTCAGATGACAATAACTGCATAACTAATGTTTTCAAAAGAAAGTTAACATTTTTCTGTCTGTCTCTTAGAGTAGTTTATTCTTGGCTCCCAGGGACCCCAGTCAGTACTCCTGATATGTTTGGTTGAGGGTTAATATTCCTGAAATGCGTACATGTAATATTTATTTGATTCATTTTGGACAATGATTTCAACCAACTGTTGTGCTGCCCTTGGATGTTTTGTGAGGAACTGATTAAAACATTTTATTTTTTTAATGATTCATGTTGGTGGTGAATAATAATATTTCCGTTTTCAAAACAATGACGACAAAAGAAAAAAGTCCAGTAAAGATAAGTACTGGAGGTTTTTGTACAGCGTTGCTCCTTCCTGTGTCACTGTGTCGAGCACAATAATAAACAGCAGAATCTTCAGTCTTCAGACTGTTCATCTGCAGATACACCTGCTGTCTGCTGGAGTCATCTCTGGAGATGGTAAACCGGCCTTAAACTGACTGAGAGTAGAGTTTGCTGCTACCACTACCACTCTCAATCCAGGCAATCCACTCCAGTCCTTTTCCAGGATCCTGTCTGATCCAGTGCATATAGTAGCTGCTGAATGTGAATCCAGAGGCTGTACAGGTCAATCTGTGAGATTCTCCAGGCCTTTTAACCACTGGTTCAGATTCTGTCAGAGTCTGACCATCAACACCTGTCAAGATAAAACAAATATACAGTGGTCAGTTGCTTTAAGCTGGAAGCATTTTGAAGACAACTTCAAATTAAGGTCAGATAAAATCTTCACCTGCCCAGCAGATAGTTAACAGCAGCAGTCCTGTCCTATAGTCCATCATGTTAAACTGTGTGTCCACTGTTCTCTGTCATCCTCTCTGCAGGCAGATAAGTAGAGGTGGAAGACATCTGAGTTTTGCATTGACTCCTCCTCACAGGGAGGAGAGAATGAGATTGGACTTGGCTTTCAGTATTTTGGTGAAACTGGAATCAATTTTTAGAAGTCAGTTTAATTGAATTTGCATGAAATGTTACTGTCATTATGTCATACTGTTGACCTTTAGCTTTTGCTCTTGCACAAATATTCAGTTGCCCTATACAGAGATAAAAGAAACAGAAAATTAAAGCTGAACCCTATTTTAACTTCATAACTCACACGTTTAGGCATTGACTCCTCCTCACAGTGTGTAGAGAACCAGACTGGTCATTGCTTGTTGTTTAGTCAGAGCTGTGACTTGAGCCAAATTAATTTTAATCATGCAAAATGTTACAAAAGTGGAAAAAATATCATAATAACATCAAGATTAGATGGTTTAATAAGATCAAAATCACATTCAAATTCTGGATAATTAATGAATTAAAAAAATTCAGCAGTTTTACAATTTATCAGAAGACTGCTGATTCAGTTACTAATGTGTTTACTTAGCAGTTAAAAGTTGCCTATTAAATTGAATCAAGATTTCTTTATCTTCACTGTAACACCTTTTTGACCCAGGAGGGGAGGTGAGACTGTGGCGCCGACAGTCTCTTGCACAGAGAGCCTGGTTCTTTTCAGATTCTCAGATGGGATCTCTAGGTGTCAATTTGCTTTATCCTCTTTAACAGAACACCGACTTCTCCACAGATCAGAACAACACCCTACACCTAAAGCGGATCGTGTGTGATAATTAAGTGCCTTTTTGATTGTAAATCAGGGTTAGATATCCCTGAAATGTGTTTACATCTCTTTTAGTCTGACAGGTCCACCTCCAGAGAGAAACTCCTCTGGAACCCACATCTGGCATTCTGACACCCCTTCCTCTAAAGTGTAAATTACAATGTTCTCTTTTGATAGTGGACATTCCAATCTAGGAAGCAGTAACAACAGTTGCACGGATATAGATTTAGTTCTGTTGGAGTATTATGATAAAATGTCATCTTCTCCTAATTAACAGATTGCCATCCAGCATGAGAAGG